CTTCCGATCCCCCCAAAACCCCAAAACCCCATCTGAGGAAAAATGCTATTTTAAAAGGTTAATAAGATTATTAATTGATTTTAAGGACTCAGTTTAATTTCATAGCAGCTATCACTATCATGGTCTTTGTGCTTCAGGTGTGAATAGGTTTGTCTGCATAAATTTATAAAACCTATCACCATATAGTTTCGGATGTACACAGGAAAATGTATCTGGCGCTACATGTCTATTTCTAAGCTCAAGCCACTTTGTCTCAAGTTACTTCCTTCTGTTATACTTTTGTAAATAGTCGATAATACCTATTCTGTAGTAAAGATTTGGATCTTAATCAGATGTAAACTGAATAAACTCATCTGTTCGTGGATTATTGAACCTAATCTAGTCTTTACTATTGTTTTGGTTATTACCTAAATGCTCTAAAATGCTGTTTGACTTCTCGTCAGGGATATCATCATTTTCTATCTATGGGTGAGGGTTGATACTGGGAGATACTCCAAATATATTCAATGAGTTTTACCTATTTGGAAGTTCTTCCTTGATTTCCTAAAATACAACTACTTTACCATTACCCTCAGACTCTGTTCTTACTACCATAGACACTTTCCTGTATGAAGAGGATCCTGCTCTCATTTCTTATAAGCCTTTCTTAAAGAAGATAATTAGTAATGAGTAGTCCATAAGCTCACATGTTTTTAAGAATTCCTTATCTCTTTCCATTCTTCTGAGTATCTCTTTTTTAATTTTTGGCTTTACCTGCATTCTCATACTTCTATCATCTAAGAAATTTAAGTCTTTTCTAACTGATAGATCAGATGATGGGTTAGAATTCATTCTATTGAATGTAGAACCCTTCAAATCGTACACTCTAAATGCATCTTCGGCGTGATCTCCCATCAGGTTATCCATTATAATTATATTGATTGGCTGCATATACTTAATCTTAACTTTAAGAACAGCATAGTATCTGGCAAGTAGTGATTTAGGGTATTTGGTAATATGGTTGTAATATTTCTCAAGCACTCCTTTTCTTGCAAGCAATTCTAGTTCACTATCCTTCAGTGTCTTGATCACAAACTTCTTATTTGCAGTGAAAAAGAAGAAACTAGCTGATTTGCCACTACCTTCTTGGAATTTTGTCATCTCAGCATAGTTCTCTCTTGGAGAAAATGAGTTCATCAGGTATTCCTCGGAATAGCCAGAATGCTTACGAATTGGTCTTAGAAGTTCTGGACAGTACTCAGTGATCTTAACTTAAACTTTATTTCCATCTATTTATGTGTATGAACACAAATCAAGACTTACTCGTAACGTCAGTAGCACAGATATCCTCAAACTTCTTAAAGAATTCTGCCATATCAATAATATGATTAACATCGTTATCTTTCCTATAATCTTGATTAAGACTGGAAAAAAACATTACAATTGATAAGTAAGAGCTTTTTAAGCAAATTTAATAAGGCCTCCCATCATTCCTACAACATTATTAGTCTTTTTGTTAGCCTGAATGCATTAGCATATACTCATCAAAATTGCATTGATAATCTATTTTAAAAATTTACAAGAGGCATAATTTACAAAGAAACTAGTCCTGGATTAAAGGGAGAATGACATTCTCTGTTCTTATTCATGCTATTATAATTCTTATTACTCTAATTTAACTGCTAATGGATCAGCATCAACCAATTGAAATTCAGCAGGTGGTTCATCAGTGATTCCAATCAACTTTTTGAATTTCTACTCGTCCTCAATATCAATGTCATCTTTCAATTCTACCTAATTATTTCCAGCTTCAAAATCGTCTTCATCAGAATCAAGATTGGCATTACTAGATAAGAGAGGTGTCTTATTAATGGTTCCATCCTATGAAATCAATTAAAACAATCTCATACAGTTTGCCCATCAATCATATTTTTAAATGAGTCATTTGCTTTGAATTGAATTAATGGTTTTGGCTCCTGATCAATTCTGAAAACCCACTTGTAAAATCTAATGGCGTAACCGAAGAATGTTCTTTCACAGAGAGTGCATGTTGCCAAGCACAAGAAACTAGCGTGATCAACAATTAAATATGCCTAGTTAAATATAAAATTATGAGTTATATTACAAATCTTTGCCTCTTAAACCCATCCTCTTCTTCATAATTGAAATAGCTAGACTTATTAGATCCATGAATCACTAGTGCTACTTAGAGGCCCTAGTTTGTTATTAAAAACAACATGGTGAACACATATTTCATTACAAATCTTTTCAGCTATCAGAAACTTTACTATTTAAATGCCTTACAGATTATCTGACAATGAAAGGTGTCTATCTCATAATCTTAATAGTCAGCCATATGTCAATAGGCACCAATAAGAATGGGACTAGCAAGATATACTCATCATCAAGGCCTGGAGTGTGTTTGATACCACATTACATTGTTTCCTATATTATGTAATGATTAGCTAATTCCAAAGCATAAATAAAGATCACCTACCTCCACTCCGAATCCGTTTGATAACTGCACATAAAATACCAACAGCATACAGATGATAAATGTCAGGCCATGATAGAAATAGATGTATCTGTTAAGTCTGTGAATAGGGTCTTTGAGAATTTATTTAATAAGAACAGCAAGCCATAAGCAATAGAACTAGCAGAGGAAATCTACAATAGTCTTAATGAACCCAAAGAATATGCACAATTTAGTCTCAAACTGCTTCGGTTCAATATCATATTTAACTTCATAAAATACGACACTGAGATCTCTGAAGAACAACTCCTGAATAAATATATTGGTCTTATCAAGGGTTTAGAGGATAAGGATCAACAAAAAGAATCTTCCCATATTTCGCCTAATTAATTATATTTAGCTCGTCAGGAATGAATAAGCGGGAACTTACCTTGATTTAGGATGCCTAAACTAGAATACTATGGTTATACCCGCTAAGCTAAGGTTGAAGATTGAAAAGCATATAGAGAGGGTGTCTAGCCATTGAGGTACCTGCAGATTTATATTCTTGGGGTACAACTCTGGATCATTTTCTATGAGCGACATTGTTATCTTATAATTTTTGAATTATTTTTATATTATCAGCACTTACCTTCTTTTAGTTCTTATTAAATTAGTCAATACGGGGTTTTGGGGTTTTGGGGTTTTGGGGTTTTGGGG